TTTTTCTTTAATATTCATAACAAGTAGTGTAAATTCTATCACTAGGTTATTGCATATTAGCTTGTTTTCTAACAAGTGGTATCAGAAATCAGGGTTCCTGGAGAGCCAATTTGGCCTTGTATTAAAGCGATGTTTGATCAACTCAGAACGAGATTTAATTGTTTCAGGATGGCAAGTATGAAGTCGCTTTTAAATTGCAACACCAGATTTTCTTTGTGACGATTAAAATACGAGCAGTTCTTGTCCAACTAGATTTGGATGATCCTTTATTGGAGCTAAATAAGATGCCATCAACTTTAACACTGAATGAAAAGCAATGTGACGATCGAGTTATATGTTTTAGAAGGTTCAATAATTACGTTTTATGCAATTGCTACTAAATTGAAGATTAGACCTCAAGAGAGGTTCAGTGAGGATGATTTGATTGCTTATTGTTTGATAAGCATTGACTTAGATGGAGCTAGTTGTGATTGAGTTGTTCGTGATTCGAGCGAATTTGATAATGAAGAACTTGTCAATGGCTCAGGTGGAGTTAGTTTTGATGTTGTTGTTTGAGATTCAAACAAATTTGATATTCAAGGTAATCCTAGAAATTAGCAATGCTTGGATTCTTACTTGTATGGAGTTAGTTGTGAACTTGTTGATTTTGTTGTTCGTGATTCGAGCATTGTCCAAAATAATTTTGCTGATCAGTAGTGCTTTGATTTAGTTCACGGTTGCTAAAAATTTGCCCTAGTTGGGCTTTCTGGAAAAGGTGGAGTGGTTTATTGAAAAATTAAGTTTTACTTCTTGTAATGGAATTCATGTCAAAGTGGAGGTTTGTTAGAATTTCGGCGAGACCCAAAATTTTGTTAAGTATTTGATTGAAAATGCTATTGGAGGACTATTGAGAGTTAGTTATAGACTTGAAGATGTCTTGAACGAATCCAAGAATATGTCCCAAACACACTCTATGATCCTTCCTTTTTTAGTAGCTTTTGACTCCTATTTCATTTCATTATTAGTTTTATTTATTAAAATAAGACTTCACATTGTGTTAGACTCTTGTTTGTATTGATTCT